GGATGTGCACCCATTCCCACCAGTGCTTCCCCGCAGCGGGGGCTGCAAGGCCAGGAGCTCCGTGGGACGACTCACAGGATCCCCAAGTGCTGGTGAGGGGCTTTTTCGGTGTCCTCAATCCAGGCTCCTCTGTGGAGCAGGACTGTCCCCAGCATTATCCCACAGGGGTCCATGTAATTTTTGGGGAGACCTCTAAGCAAAGCCCCTTGCCATGCTCTGTCCCAGGGCTGTATCCCCCCCAGAGAGGTTTTCCTTATGGCCAACTCTAACTTCCCAAGCTCTGACGTGCACCCACTGCCCCATGATATCATCTGTCCTGAACACGAGGAGTTGCAGGCAGCTCTTGGGTCCCCCAAACCTCCCCAGGTTCTGGTCACCCCTGCCCAAAGCCTCTGTTCTTCCCCTCTTGCAGCCCTGTGCCCCCCAGCCCAGCCGCCCTTGCAGCCTCTGAGGCCCCTCTGCTGACCCTCCACCTCTCCTCACCTAGGGCTGTCTGGCTTGTGAGGGTGTCTTCTTAGCTGCTAGGCAGCATGAAAGAAAAACCTCAAAAGACAGGAAAATGAGTAAATTAAACACCTCTATACACAAACCTTAATGAGCAGAAGCTAACAAAGACAGCAGCTAAGACCTGAGTTCTCAAGGCGCTGGTGGATGAACCCCTCAAGCATGATCTTGAAGAAGTTCAACCAGAAACTTTTTAACTGATAAGAGGAAAACAGGTTTATTCAGGGTTATGGATTATTCAGAAAACTTCTCATAGGAAACAGAAAATTGATTATGGGATGATGAGGGAGAATTTACTGGGGAATGCTTACAAGAATGATCGAAGCAATGATCACGGTGGGTGGGGAAGGGAATATGAGGACAGCAAAGGCTGCTGGTCATAGGTAGGGAGCACTCGCCTGGCCAAGCCTTTTGCTTCGTCCCCATGGTCTGTCCTGCCTTCTCATTAAAATCTATTCCTGGGTTATCTCACTCCCTGTTCTGTTTGTATCTGGTCCTGTCCATATGCAAGGAGTAGAGGCTGTCCTGGGACCTCCCCCCTGCCTTCCAGAGTCTGCGTTTCCACAGACCACAGAGATTCTCAGCTTCAGCACTTCCTTTTGTGCTTTCTCAGTATGACCGATCTCTGATAAATATGATTTTGTTTGAGTTTGCTTCCTATGTCTAGAAAATCTTCATGGAAGTCCAAGGTCCCCCATCTCCTGTCCCCATCTCACAAAGATGTCCCTCTCTGAGGCAGGAGAATGCCAACAGTGCGAGAGGATTCAGGCACCCACTTGCCTCCCATGATTCTTTAGCCTGTGGGGCTCAGCCTCCTGACCTGAGCCTGGCTCTGCCCACACGATTGTGCCCGACACTCATTAATAATGCAGGGCAACAGGATCCCCCTTAGTGTAACCCCATCCCCTGCCCTGTCTGAAACAGCAGCTCAAGGGCTGCAGCTCCCTGAGCTGGCCATGGACACTGGGGAGGTGAGTGCTTTCATGGGGGACATCCTACAATCACATTGTTGGGGATCTGCACCCTCGCCGGGTGCTGCCCAGCTCCCCAGGGGCTCATCCAGATCCTGGCACGTACGTGGGGCAGGACCTGTCTCATCCCTGCCCTGTGTCTCAGCAGGCCAAGCGGGATGTCTGTGTGCGAGCAGCTGTGGGACTGCATCAGGCAGGAGGTAGAGATGGGGCTGAGGACACCTCTGGCATCCCAGTGCCTTCAGCCTGAACCCCCACGCCGAGGTGGTAGCCATAGCTGTGATGGCACTGGGACTGCTGGTCATGCTGGTGGGGTTGGCATGGGCAATGGTGCTGGGGAGGGATTTTCCTCCCCACTCCCCTGGTGGCTCTGAGCTCCATGGTCATGACATGAAGTTCCAGGACTTGGCCCCAGGCTCTATAGGGGGACACAGAGCTGGGGCAGGTGGGGATGGCCCCCCTGCACCACCCCATGTTCCATGTTTCCAGAGCTGGCCAGCAGCGAGGACACCCTGCAGCTTCTCTTTGCTGAGCAGGATGTGCAGGTGAGAGTGGCAGGGACACGGGCATTAAGGAAACGAGGGTCCATGGGGAACCGGACAGGAGCAGGGAGCTCTGCCATGGCCATCGGCCATGGGACCCTAATGGATGCTGAGGTCTGGGGCCAATCCTGCCCGACACCCCTATGAGCCCCTCTCTTGTGGTGGGGCTCCTGGAGGTTACCAGATAGCAGGGGAAGGGAGAGGGTCCCCCACCCCTGCCTGTAGCAAGCCCTCCTCACCCCCCCTGCCATCTCCATCCCAGTGTGCCCAGTCCCTCCTTTATTCTGCACTGGTCATACTGGGATGGAGGAAAGCTGAGCACTGCCATGCTCCCTCCCTCATGCCAGGACAGCTGCTCAACTGTTGATGGCATCTTCTGCTTGGATGCAGGACAGGTATTGTGGGCTGCCAGTCTTTCTTCTACACCCCTGCCCTAACCAGATGAGCCAGATGTGTGGTGTGTCTCACCCATTCCCTGTTTCGTCTTGAGTGCTGGGATCTGGCTGCCGTGCTGGGACGTGGCTGACTGTGCCTTACTGCCCATGCCACACTTACTCTGGTGTGCTGTGCACCACTGCGCCGTGCCGTCCCACCACCCCTGCCACGCCATGCTGTGGGTCTACACTGAGCCACTCACACTGAGCTACCTGTGTGCACATGGCTGTGCTACCCACGCCTTCCCATCTGTGTTGTGCTGGTCACTGTGCTCTCTGTGCCATGCCATGCTGGCCGTGCCATGCCATCCCTGCTCTGCTGGCTACTTCTCTCCAAACAGGAGAAAGTCCTGGAGGTGGCAATGGTTCCCCTTGGCTACAGCGTGTCCCTGCTCCTGTGGGACCCCCATGGCCCTGGGACCCAGCTACCCTTCCAGAACATTGTCTGGCAGGTGAGGACACAGGCCATGGTAGGGGAGAGATCGCAGGGACAAGGTGACAGTGCAACCGCACAGTGCTGGGCTCTCAGGTCACCCAGCTGACCCCAGTCCTGCTGGTACAGATGCGAGACCCGGTCATGGGTGCCAAGAACCAATGACTCCCAGCTTGACCTTCTTGTCTCCAGGTGATTGACACCATCTTCCAAGAACTGGAGGCTTTGGAGGGTGATACGCGGATTCTGCAAACTGTCAGCCTGGTCCAGGTAGAGCAGAAGCACAGCTGGCCAGGATGTCCCAGGGTGGGGAGTCCTGTTCTCTCTCTGCCACTGGCCTGACCCTGCTGTACCAAGGGACATACAGTGTCCCACTGCTGGTATCCAGTCCCCTGTGCCAGAGAGTGACCAGGGGCTGGAGACCTTCAGATCCCAGGATTTCTCACCTTTTTTAAGGACTTCCCAGGTGTGGGAAGCCTTGGCTTGGGTGGGACATCTCCCAGGATCCAGCAGCATGATAGGAACAGAGAAGTCCTCCAACACCTTCCTGCTCACCTCTTGGCTGGGCTTTTCTTGCCATCCACCGCTCTCTATGGCCTGAAGGTCCATCCAGCGTGTCCTTGGTTGGCACAAGAGCAATACCAGCACCTTCCAACCGGTTGGGCCCTGCTCTTTGGCTCCAGGATGCTGCCAGCATCCTGTCAATCTCTGCACAGGGCTTAGGCATTCCCAGGCTCTGCCTTTGCCTGACCCCGAGTCTAGAAAAGCTGAGAGAAATGCTGAGACATTTCCTTTCTCAACCCGTATCTCTGCATGGCCACAAGCAACCTGGGTCTCCTTTTTCCAGCATCCTCCGTTATCTGGCCCCATCCTAGGTCTGTGCCCATGATAAAGCCTGGGACCTGCTCTGTGCTGATGGCCGAGCCCTGCAAGTGATGGATGTTGCACCCTTGGGCCTGTAGGTACCTGATGCCCCATGATTGGGCAGGTCCTGCTGGGGGGCTGGTACCCCAATATTGAGTGTGGGACTGAGCAGGGAGCATAGTGCTCAGTCAGAGACCAGGGGTATCCCTCAGGGAGCCCAGGCATGTAGGAGGTGGGTAGACGTGGCTCTCCTTGCTCGCTTTTGTCTCCCTCTGCTTTCAGGATGGTGGAGGAGGCCATGGAAATTGCAGTGTCCGATGCCCAAACTGCCATCGGTGTCTACGCCTGGGGGCTGGGCGCCATGCCAGCACTGTTCCAGGGGGGAGCACAGCAGCGCCCCACCGACGGGCGCTTGGCTAA